CGGCCGGCAGAGCGGAGGAGGCGGAGCGGGGACCCGGGAGCGGGCTGGCCCGCGCTCCTCCTGCCGGCCGGGGATTTTCCAGACTGGGCGCTGACGCCGCGGACCTCCCTGCGGCCGCCACCAGGGACCATGGGCGACAAAGGGACGCGGTGAGTGCGGACAACCGCCTGGCCAGGCGCGCGTGGGGGCGACCGGGGCGAGGACACGGGGCGGTGGTTCTAGTTGGCGACTTGGTACTGCGTTCGTGGTCACCCGAGGACCTGGCACCCAGTTCTCCGCCCAGGTCTCCTGTGTGTCACTGGCAGGAGCCGTGGGCGGAGGTGCCGAGAGGGCGAGGATCAGGCCATCCGTCGGCTCGCAGCTTCTGGCCGAGACACGCAGACACACTCACAGACACCTAGCCCTGGCCGCAGACGCAGAGACGCTGTGGGCTGACACACAGCATGCACGCTCACACTGACACAGGCACACTCATGGTGGCACACACCGACAGTCACTGCCACACACTCGTCACATACAGTGGCACAGTGTCACACACACACTCTGGCACACACTCGTCTCAGCATATTCTTGATGATGATCCTGTTGTCATACACAGGTTACACACTACCATGCACCAACCCTAACACACCTTCGTAGAGGCACATGCATGTGGGCATGCACTGTTACATACACTGTCACTTAGGCTCTAACACACTCTGGCTGGCACACGCATGTTGTCACCCTCCCTGCCTGGGCATGATGCTGGCATATGTCTCACTGATACAGAAGAAGGCAGGACCACACCAATGCTGACCCCTATAGATGCACATGGAACTAATGCCCACATGGACTGGCACCTCACGGGCACAAGCTGCTGTCCTGGGGGCTGCGGACACACTGCTCCAGACCCCAGTGGCAGAGTGGAGACACACGTCACACTGCCTGGAGGCCCCCTCCCCCACTGGATAGGCAGACTGAGCCCACTGTGCTTCCTTTCCCTGTGGCCTACTGGGCCTGGGGGTCTAGCCAGGAGCTGCTTCCAGCTGGGGTGGGGAGGGGCTCCTGTCTTCTTAGAGCCTGCCCTGAAATTCAGTCTTAGGAGAGCTTCTACTTCCGAAAGGGGACACTGGGACAAAAGGGAGAGGGGGCTGGGCAGGCCCATCCCTAGGGTCTACCCTTTTGATCAGACAAGCCGAGATCCCGCCTCCCACAACCACCACACCCCCAGCCCTGTAAGTTCCGCGGAAGCCTCTCCCTCAGTTCCTCCTCTGAACCCTTCTGCACCTGCTCCTTTTCATTGTTTTCTTTCCTTACCTATCTTGAGGTCCCACTTCTCTCCCTCCTTTCCCTCTCTCTCCTTGCTTCCAGTGTTTATTTATTGAGCTCCTGCTGTGTACTAGGTAGGCACAGTGTGAAAATCAAAGCTTTGCAAGATGTGTTCCTCCCCTGAAGGAACGAACAGGCAAGAGAGAAGCAACTCCTGTCGTCATCACATTTCGGGTCCCCTGACAAAATGATATCTCACCCCCTGCCATCTGAGACTCTCAACAGCATGAGAAAGGCCCTCCAAAGATTATTCCCCTTTTCCAAGAGAAGAAACAGGCTCAGAGGTAACTTGGACTCCTTTTTGAGAAATAATGTCCCAGCCACCATTCTGACAACTCTTCAAGGTGATTAATTTTCCTCTTCCTGTTTTCCTAAAGAGGAAACAGGGATAGAGAGGTCACTTGATTTGGTTAAGGTCAAGAGAGGTCAGAGGCAGGCAAAAGTCAGAGCCCTCTTGGTCTCTGTCTCTGCCTTCCTTTGGGCGCTGTCAGGCCCGGCCCCTCATGGATCTCGATAAGGGCTGGGAGGGGTGCCCTACTCTATGCACGAGGCCCGGCCTTGGGAGGGCTACACAAGATCATGAGGTGTCTGCATTCACCTTCACGGCTGGTCCTCATTGCAGCCTGCTGGCCAGCACTGTAACCCAGGTCACTGTCCTTAGGAGGGTGTGTGACTCCCTCCTCACATCAATCTGCCCCAGAGCCGGGACCCTCTTGCCCCATGTGGTCAGGCCTCTCTCCCTACAGGGCATGGCAGGGTGTCAGGAGCCATGGTTCTTCTTTATTCTTCTGTGCTGCTTTCTGAGCAGAGTGACTCAGCCCCTCTTCAGCTTCTCTGTGACCTGGGGAGAAGTGCCATTGCTCCTCTGCTGGCATGAGGTATCAGTGTGAGGATAGCACCAGCATCTGTTGGAGGCTGTCTCTGGGGCCAAGGCTTTTCTCTGACTCCTGCTGCTCTGCCTCCAATTCACTGGTGGACCTTGGGGACATTGGGCAATTGTCTTCACCTTTCTGACCTTAGTTTTCCCATCTGTAAATTGGGGCTGTCAATACTTAGACGTGTCAATACTTAGCTCTCCTTGCATTTAGTGAATTTACTGGGCGTGGGAGAAGGTGCTACCTAAGCTCTGGAAACAAACTCTGGCTGATAACGCCTACACTCTGGCCTGGCTTCCGCCTCAGGTTTCCCTGCAGCCCCGCAAGGTCTTCCTATCTAGACAGGTTTCTGCATAATTTGTAAGAGAAAGGCAAAATCACTAATGGGCTATATTCCTCTTATTCCATAAGCGATGAGATCCTACTTCATGAACTGGAAGAGGACACTGCAAATATCCAGTACTCTAGAAGGATCAGGAGCCATCACCTTCATCCCTGTATCTGGAATTGCAACCTACGTAGCAAAGTGACAGTGAAAACTAATCAGAAACTGTCACTGCCCTCTAGGAACTCCCATGGTGGAGGGGGAAAGAAGGCATGAGACAAACAGCCGGACAGAACTGTTGCAGGGCAGGAGTATGATGATGGTTGCTATAACGAGCTGCTTTGGGAACAATAATGCATTCATTTATCAAACATTGACTGAGTGCTTTCTGAGTGGGGGGTCCAGGGATGAATGAGTCCATTCTGTCACCAGAGGATTTACAGCCAAGTGGGTGGTTATAATATAGAGTGACAGGTGCTGTGGGAGACCTAGGGCAGGGTCCCCCACTCAGTCCTGGGCATGGAATATGACAAGGAAGTTTTCTTGGAGAGGAAGTGACCTCAGAGCTACAGAGCTTCACCTGGAAGGACAGGAGGCCAAGAGGGTGGGACTGGGGATGTCATGCCTGGCTGAGGGTGCAGAATGTGCACAGGCCTGGAGCTCTGAGGCAAGGCAAAGAGTGTGCAGAGGCTTGGGCTGGGGATCATGAGTAGCCAGTGTGGGGCTGTCAAACTAAAGGGACGGCATTTTCCTCCGAGGCTGGTGGTGATTCAGAAGATGGGTCTAAAGGTTTTTCAGAAGTAGAGGGACAGGAGTAGAGTTTCCTTTCAGAGAAGTGTCCCTGGCAGTGGCCAAGAGGACTGATGGGGGGATCAGTCCAGGAAGCCCAGAGACCTTCGTGGTGGGTGGGGAGAAGCCTGAGAACTAAGGCTGTGAGCTCCGAATGAATGGAGAGGGTGGATCTAAGGAATAGAAAGGGAAAGAAGAAGAGGTGGAGTCCATCAGCCTTACTGGCTGAACTCAGACCTTTGCTGAGGGTCTAGTATGCATTAGATTTATGTGCATAGTCTCACTGGATTCTCACCATGACTTAGTGACGTAGGGATTGTTGTTCCCATTTTACAGACGAGGAAGCAGAGTAGGAGGGATAATTCAGCCAGCAGACTCCTGAATTGAGGCCTGTCCCTGCACACACAGGCCTCTCTGCTACTCAATAATTTCATGCAGAGAGGAGAACTTGTCTGGTTCACCGTTGGCCTCCCTGGTCTTGCCAATAACTCTGCAAGCAACACAAAAGATCAGATTTAGACAACAGGAGGGACGTCCCAAGGGCAGTGGGTTGGAATAGAATTTCTTTTCCTGTAGATGTTTATGAACACTTCTGTTTTCTGGGGGAGAAGAGTGGCTGTGATGGGGACATGTAATCACCAGCTCTCTGTGAACCTTGGCTGTCATTTCTTTCAGTGGTTAAGCCCTGTGTGACCCATCTTGGCTGGAACTCAGGGAAGTCCTGTGGCTTTGGCCAGGACTGCTTCTGGGGCTGCTGGAATGGGAGCGGTGAGCCTGGTCCATGGTCCCTGATTCCAGGCGGGCCACTGGGTTTCGGGCTTCTCTGGCAGCTCTCTTCCTTCCAAGGAGGTGGAAGCCCCCCACTGGCATGGGCTCTGGGGTCCTGAGTTGTGGGCTTGGCACCTCCGGGGCTTTTGTCACCTCTGGCCATGGCAATGGAAGAACAGAATAGCAGGTGTCCTTGTCTCCAAGTGACCTCCTGGTCTCCACCAGGCTGTTGTCTTCTGCTGCCAGGGTGGCCTTGCTCATGCATGCAGGGGGTGGCATCAGTGTGGCAAGACAGTCAGGGCAGCTGGGTGTGGACCAGCATGAGGACGAGGAGGGGGACTTCGACAGAGGTGGGCCTGGACCTCAGGCTAGGGCTTGAGGTAGGTGGCGGGGATTTGCAGTCTTTACTGTTGACACTGGTGGTTGCCTTGGGGAGTATGATAACACAGTGTGAAGAGCAGGAAGGGGTGGAAGAGAGGATGATCAGGGACAGTTAGGTCTTGGGAGTGCCAGGGCCTGGCCTGCAGAGAGAGGCACTAAACAGAGGACTGCTAGGCCCTGAGGCCACAGATGCAGGGAAAACCCCGCAGAGGAGGAGCTGCAGCAAGACTCCCCACGTTTAGCCAGAAGGCAGTGGGGAGTGCGTGGGTGTTTGGGTGGCACTGTGTGGGCGCAGCTGGACCGTGGAGAGAGGGGATGGGCTCTGCTTTTCCGGGTGTCTAGGAGTATGCCCTGCACTGGGCAGAGGGGGCTGTGGCCTGGGGTTACCCCGTCCCCTCCCTCTCTGCCTGGTGCCACTTCCCTGCCCTGTTGTCCTTTCAGGGTCAGACTCACGGCTGGGAGGGATAGTGGAGTGGCAGCTGGTCCCCGGGAAGGCCTGCACGGTGCCGCCTCCTGAAGGGAAGGACGTCTGACTCTGACTGGGGTCTTGGGAGGCTTCCCAGAGCACTTGACCCTGAGCTGGTGATGGGGTGTGAGGAAGGCTTTGCGGGAGGAGGGTGTTCGAGATAGAAGGACCAGCCCCTTGGGGGAGTGAGGGGGATTGAAATGTGTTACGTACGTGTGCAATCCGCCTACAGTGAATGTAGTCATTATGTACTGCAAACATGTACCCCCCCGAAAAAAAGAAAGAGAAAAGAAGAGCCCTGCCACGGGCCTGACATCGGCTCAGGTGTGAGATGGGGGGAAAGGCTGTGGAGGGTGTGTTGTGGCAGCCTTGGCCAGCAGGCTTGGACGCTGGAGTGAGTGTGTGTCGTGACACTTTTCCCCCCATTCATTCATGCCCTGGGAGTCTTTCCCCCCACCCTCGTAGTGGAGGAGCTCGCTCCTTTGGGTTTGGGGCTGTTTCTGCTTCCTGTCTGTTGGCCCATCATCCACCTGTGGGTCTGGTTCAGAGGAGATGTCTGGCCGAGGTTTGTTGAACCGGACCCAGCTCTTTCCTCTCTTGTCTTTGCTGTCAGCCCTAAGTGCTGAAATTACATCTTTCCCATTGGGGAATCCTCACAATGGAAGTGATGCTTTCCACATTAGACTGGATGCTCAGGGGAGGGCGGCCATGCTTCCTCCATCAGATTGGCAGTCCCGAGGGAAGGGGATGTACTGTCCTGTCCGATGAGGGCAGGGCCTTGTCTCCTGCATGGTGCTGGGGTCAGAACGGATGTCTTCTGGGTGGTTTCCAGGCACCCCTCTCTCCCCACGAGGGACAGGTCCTGTCCCAGGGATGGCTTGAGTCCTAGCAGAGAGGTGGAGAATGGGGTTTGGGGGGTTGGGCAGGGTGGCTGCTTTGAGAGGGAAACAAAGGACTCCGTTGTCCCTGTCCCCTCTCTCCCTCCCTCCCTGAGGGCCCTGGCTGGGTCATCTCTAGGGAGACAGCCTTTCCCTTCCTGAGAGCGGCCCCATCTGTAGTCCTACTTCAGAAGAACTTCTTGTTCCTGCCTGGGAGACACGAGGCCAGACAAGCCCCTCACCCCACCCTCAGGGACTGAATCTGGCCAGTCCCTAGAGCCCTGTATGACTGAGGCCACCACAGTGACTAAGCAGCTTTCTTTGTGCCCAGGGGTAGGCCACACTTGGCTGAGACCACCACGGAGGTTGGGTCCCTGTACCTTGAACGGATCTGACTGTTGATGCCACAGAGCATCTTGAAAGCTGGATGCTGAGACCTGTGTCAGGCCAGCAGGAGGCAGGGCTTGCTCAGTGTCCTAGCTATTCAGGGGCTGTATGTGGGCCTCGGTGAAACGGGAGGTCTTTTCATACTGGTTATGGGCCTCGGAACCCACAGCTGTTCCCTTGGTCCTTCTACAGCTTCATCCCGTCTCACAGCCTTGCCGTAAGTGGCAGGGGCGAGTTTTGGCAAAGCAGGGGAGGGACTGAGGATAGACTGCTGGGTGGTACCATGCCAGGAGGGTCCTAGTGGATGCTCTGCTGCTTCCTCATTGCTGTGTGACCTTGGGCACACACTTATCCCTTCTGGGCCCTGGTGTCTTTATGGGAGTCAGGTGGCCAGTATGTGTGAGACTTTTCTGTGTTCTGCTTGTGGGTTGGAGGTGGCCAACAGCGGGAGGCTGGGTGTCTCAGGCCTCAATCACAGACCAGTGGGACTGAGGTCGGCAGGGAGCAGGGTCCTCAGTAGGGTTTGTGATGGGTGCTAAGGGCCAGGAAGCAGTTACCCTTGGCTTGAAAAAAGCGTTGTCCTGTCTCCTATGGGCTCAAGTCCTTCACTGGCCACTTCTACCTCCCCGGTCTCATTTCCTGCCTCCTTTGGGGATTCAGAGGATCTGGTCCTTGAAGGTCATTCTCTTTGCCCAGGTTGTCCATGAGCCTGGCTCTTCTTCCTTCCTGGTGGACATCCTTCCCTCCTTACCCTCCCCTGCCTTCGAAGCTCTGGGAGTCTCCAGGCTTGTCTGGTGTCCTCCTCTGGTCCCCACCACTGATCAGCATAGAGGTTACACTCTGGGCAGAGCCAGATTTCCTGGTTCAGATCTAAGCTCTGACACTCACCAGCTGGCTGACTCCAACCTATTGTTAACCCTTTCTCTGCTGTAGCTTCCTCATCTATAAAATTGGGTAGGTGATTACCTTGAGGATTAAATAAGTGGAAATGGGTATAGCTCAGAGAGTCCCTGGCACAAGGTCGGGGCCATATGAGTCTTAGTTCTTGGGTCTGCCTCCTTTCTCAGGCTGAGCTCCCCCAGAGAGAGACCCTGATTCATTTTTGAGGTCCCAAAGGATTCATCACAAGCCTGTAGTATTGTTGATGCTTAGTACCCACTGGGGTCTGGATCACATGTGCAGCCTCCTCCAGGAAGCCCTCAGTGATCTCCAAGTGCTTTGCCATCTTCTCTCTTGTACACACCAGCCCACTTTCTGTGTGGCTTCTGGTTATTTTCACATTTGTGACATCTGTATATGAATTCAAGAATTCTCCAAGGGCACCTGGCTGGCTCTGCTTGTCTCTAGCATCTGCACAGGCCTGGCACAGCACTGAACTTCATAAATATTTGTTCAGCCAAGGAAGTTGAATGCAGGTGGTTGACTGGGAGAAGATAAACTGGGGTGTGGGGGCAGTTTGATTGCTGAGGATGGTGGGGCCTCATTGCTGCTTTCAAAATCCTGCAGAGAAGCTGGGTGTGGCAGTGCCTCCCTATGATTCCTGCACTGAGGAGGCTGAGGCAGGAGGATAACTGCAAATTCAAGGCCAGCCTGGGCTGCGTAGTAAGTTTAAGACCAGCCTGAACTACACAGGGAGACCCTGCCTCAAGCTAATCAACCAACCAACCAAAACCAAACCAAACCAAACCAAACTACTGCAGAG